TTTTTATGTAAGTTGTTTAAATGAGTCAGTATTAAGCAAAATAGGTACAAAGAATTGACAAAAATCAGGCGATAGACAACTAAAATGTAAAACTCTCCATTTCTGTCTTGAGCACTTCCTTCTTTTGGCTTATTCAGTACTTGTCCATATGGTTCACAGTCATAAACATGTTTTGATGTATGTTAATCTACAAGTGCCGCTGATCTACACTTGACATTGCCTGAAAGCACTCCTGGGAAATTCTGCCACATTGACAGAGGTTTAATACATCTTTTCTCTCCTAAGTAATAGATTTCATCAAAGGTCTCCTTTGTTCAGAGGTGTTTGGTCTTAATAGTACAGAGAAAGCCTACACTAATTTGCCACACTGTAGGTGGTTTTGAGTTTTTTTAAATGATTTCATTTTATTCCCTTTTTTCCTCTCACATCTAATATAGAAACCGCACAACTTCTCCTGATAGTCTCTGATGGACGAGGCCTTTTCCTCGAGGGCAAAGAAAGAGTCATGGCAGCAGTTCAGGCTGCCCGGAATGCTAACATCTTTGTCATTTTTGTTGTTTTGGACAGTCCCAGTTCACGGGTGAGTGACTGCTAGAAGCCACATTTTCTGGAGATAAAGGGATTCCCTTCAGCCTGTTTTGAAATACAGGTTGGGGCTGCTTTATCATATTGAGAATTCCTAGTGTCCGAGGTGTTCTGTCAGGCACCATTCTTTGTGTAATACTATTCTTTGTGTAATACTCACAACAACTCAATGAGATAGGAGTGTTTTTCCACTAAGTGAAGGACAGCAACACAGAAATATTACAGGTAATGAGTAGGAGAGCCACGACTCCTACAGACTCGATAATCTGTCTTCTGGGTCACAGTTTCTTCTGTATAGCAGGTATTACAGCCTTGATAATGGGCTCCTCCTGCTACTGAAGACTGGCCTTCCCACCCTATCTCACCAGTCCTCAGAGCAGAGCAGTTCTGTTTCTGAGGAGGCACTGTCCCTGCAGGCAAGACAGATTTACTGGGAATTCTTCCTATGGAGAATAGAGACACCATTGTAGACAAGGTAGATTTCTCGTTTATCCCTCTTCCTTTTAAAGTCTTCATTCTCCTGGAACAGATGCTCAGACATCTGCCTCCTTAATGCGTTCCGAAAATTAAGGGTAATTTCACATGTAGAGATAAGACATGGGAGACAATTGTCAGCGAAAGAGATCAGAGAAGACAACTGACTTTTCCTTTTTTCTTACAAAATACTTTGGCAACAGGATTCTATCTTGGACATTAAAGTACCAATATTCAAAGGACCTGGAGAGATGCCTGAAATCCGATCCTACATGGAGGAATTCCCGTTCCCATTCTATATCATTCTTCGAGACGTGAACGCACTTCCTGAGACACTCAGCGATGCCCTCAGACAATGGTTTGAGTTGGTGACAGCCTCTGCCCACCCATAGTACAGCAAGCGCAGTCCAAAGTGAGACGGTATGAACCACGTTCAGAAAGTGACATCATACCCAGGTGGTCCCTACTCCTTTTTAAAACAACTGTTTCTGAACTTGCCACTGTAAAATCGCATTTTATTTTTATTTCCCAGTATAGCTCAGAGAGTTCTCAGGCTCTGTGCTTTTCCTGGGCTCGTTTTGAAATCTGGGGCAGTGGGAGCCTAACTGGGGAGCCTGACGCCCTCTCTACAACCCAGCCCCTCCAGTCTCCTTGCAGAGGCTCTAAACATCCTTTTGGAGGGAGGGGCTGTACAGGGGATTGGACTTAGGGTCCCACTAAGTTGCTCAGGCTGGCCTCAAATTTCTGATTCTTCTGAGTACCTGGGATTACAGACGTGTGCCCCCGTACCCGACTGTTGGGCACCTTCCTTAAGGAGGTGTTGCCGCAAGAGTGGGACTGGACCATGCCAGTTCTTTGGACAGAGGAATAAAGAGAGCAGCCCTTTTGATCCTCTTTAAGCCCTGCCATGGCAAGCTCTTGATAGGAACCCAAAGGCTGTCCTGTGGCTGAGATGTCTACAGTTTTCTGGGAGCCTGATTTTGCATTTTTTTATTGTGAAAAGGTTATTCTGTTCTCTCCAAGGACAGGAAGCTTATAGTGTACGTGTTCTCATTTTTAGCTGCACATTACAGTAGCCCGAGTAATCAACAAAGAAGCCTTGGGCTGTGTAAAAATGAAGCGGCTTTTCAGTGTCCTTCATTCACATTTGCTGCTTCGGGAGACTATGCAATGACAGAAAGATGGTTTTTCCTTTGTTTCACTCTCTCAGTGCCATAGTCCCAGTTATAGTAATTTATTTCTTTAGTTCTTCCCCCTCCTCCCCCTTAACAGTTAGGGGAAGAATCATTCCCCAGTGCTTTCAAGCTAGACTGAGCCAGTCTCATTCTCCAAAAGAAATGCCGTGTCCACAAGAACTAAGCCCCTACCTTTATTTTTCTTTTTCTTCCAGTCAGAACACACCAGTGGTTTTGAGGCAGTTTTTACTTGGCCAGAAAGCAGTGTTTGAATACTTGAAACTGTGTGCTGTGTTCTGTTTAATGTTCTGTCAGAATGTTCTTTGTAGGCATCTGTGTCCTTGTCCCCGTGTCTGTTTCCAAGTTACATTGTGAAGCCTGTACCCTTATACGGTGGCCATCACATGCAGCTTGCTTGTTTAACCAAGTGTCCTAAAGCATGTACCTGAAGTTGTATCATTGTTATTTTTTATTCTGAAAATCTATGCAGTTTATATTCTGAAAACTATTAAAAGATTTACCACCATTGAGATCATTTGTGATCATTCTTAATAGAATATGACAGGGGATTGATCTTGCGTACTTGACCAGCAGACCATTCAGTTCATACCAAACTAATGGGACCAGCAACATCAATGGTTTAATACAGTAAGACTTTCTCACTCATATTCATGTCTCTGGTGGGTAAGCTGCACCTCGCTGGCTTTGTGGCAGATGGAAACGGGTGAGTTAGGCAGAACTGCACGGAGGCGAATCAAACTGACCTCTCCCCTACTCACATTTGATTGGCCCAAGCTGTCCTAGGGGCAGAAAATGTACTCCTCCAGCAGGGTTGGGTCTGGGAGAGAAAGACAGCAACACTGACAGTGATACAGTCTATTTACCTTTGATGGGCAGGTCTTACACACGGTGGGGCTTCCCAACTGGAGTGCCTAAAGTGATTCCTATGGCTTTTCTGGGATTTGGGAAAGAAAGAATTCTGGTGAGCGGGTACCCAAGAGTGCCACTGCCAACTTGTGATAGGAATAGGGAGTGCTGTCACAGCAGCTGATGCTGAGTTCCGACATTTAAGGAATGGGCAGCAGAGCACAAATACTTTGCATGCTTATGTAATCCTATTTTAGCAACAACTTCGACCATTGTCTGAGCAAAAGGCTTGCAAAAATTTCTATCTAGACATCTGGCAAGGCTCTTCTCTCTTACGTTCCCAGTTACAGTCATTAGTGAATGACTGGGATACATTCTGAGAAATCCAGTGTTGGGCATTTTTACTGTATTGAAAGGATAACAGACTGTACCTGTAAAAACTAAGCTATGATGTCACTTAGATGATAGAAGCTTATGGGGTCGCCACCATAAATGCAGTCCCTTGTGGCTCAAAACATATACCATACATATCTGTACTGTACATTCAGATACCTGCTGGAGCTGTTACTTGAGCACTCATTAGATGTGTTTTGTTCAAAAGCACCATTTATCTGATCCCAGACTTCTCCAGTATGCCCATGTGAGTTGGCCACTCCTGCAGCCAGACTATTTACAGAGCCAGCCTACACATCTGCTTTGCTTCCCTCTCCATCTTCATGATTACAGTCTTGTCATGTTTCTCTGGATACCTCTGAACACATCTATCATCCCCTCCGTTCTCTGACTCCACCAGGGCAGCTGGGGCTCTTTTAATCTCTACCGTGGAGTATTCGGCAAAGTAGTCATTATCTTTGCTTACTTCATTTCATCCTAATCACAACATCCAAGGAGATCTTTATAAAACCTCTCAAGCTAGAAATCCCTCCAGAGCTTCCTGTTACTCAAGTTAGGCCAACCTATGCGGTTCCCTGCCTCTCTTCTGGCCCTGGACCCGCATCAGCACCACTCATCTGCTCACAGCCTTCCAGAGTTCCTACAATCCGCCCGTGTCCATGTGTTGTGTGGAGTCCTCTTAGCTCCTTTGTCTTTTAGACAAACACTTCAAGACTTCCCAGGACGAATGAGATTCAACAGTATGAACAGCAACATTTCGTGGCATTGCATTGAACTTACAATTTCCTGCCCAAAATCTTAATCTTTGAGGACAGAAAGTATATGTAACTTGTGACAGTATTAACTGTGTCTAGCATGAGAAAATGTTTCTGGAGAGAAAGAAGAAAGTGTAAAAACAGGAAGTAAAAGCTCCTAGCTTGTTCAATTCCTCATCCGTGATTTTTTTTTTTTTTAATATAAGTGCTTAAAACCACAACGGGGTGCCCATTTAAAAGCCGTGTTACAAATGATCTTGATGACTACCACGGGGCAAATGCTTGTGAAAAAGGACGAGGAAAAGGGGGGAAAGTGCAGGATGCAAATTTTAAAAGAAATTAACATTTCAGTCCGTTCAAACATACACATTAAGGACTCAAAATGAGTATAGTGATTTTCTCCCAAAAAATTACCTTCCATTTAATGAATTCTTTTTTTTTTTTTTTTTTTTCCGGTACCGGGAACCGAACTCACGACCTTGCGCTTGCTAGGCAGGCGCTTTTGCCGCTGAGCTAAATCCCCAGCCCCCATTTAATGAATTCTTAACTGCGTCCCATGCTAAGAACTGTGCCCAATGCCTTATCATTTTTATTGCCTTCTCGCAAAGTCCTTATATGCACGAACTGTTATCCGAGTCTACGGACTGCAAATTCCAGGGCTTCCCTCACACCCAGGTCGCCGCGGCGCCCCGCGCGGTTCCCCGGGAAACCGAGCTCGCCCCGCCCCCTGACCCAGGAAGTGATCCCGCCACTTCCGCTCCCGGCCAGACCCGCGGTCCGATTGACATGGCCGCCTCCCGCCTACCCCCAGGGACGCTGACGCTAAAGCAGGTACTGTACCAGTACTTCCCAACGCCCGGCTAGAGCAGCATTCCTGAACCTGAGCCTGCAGCCTGTGATCGGGGGCGTAGGGCTGGGGCTTCCCTCGGTGGGAGCCACGGGAAGTGTGCGGGGCTCACGGTGGGCGCCGGAGGCGGGCCAGCCTCTTACTTCTCGGAGCCTAGATGCTTCCTTACCCGATAACCTCGGTGAAGGCTGCTCTGCGATAAGGAACAAAGAATCTGAACAACTGTGTTCATTTAGAAAAGGTACTGTTGCTATGACAGCTTTTAGAAGCCCTTTTTCTGCCCACTGGCGAGCTCTTCATTTTAAAGGTTCCTGATCAGGTTTGACAGGGAAATAAGCAATAAGCAATAAACGCCCAAATGCACTTTTTTCTGTCAAAATAAAGTTTTTCTTTCTCCTTTATAAAATTGAAGACTAAAGAGAGTGCCTGGTTACAGTCTGTTTTGCTAAAGTAGAGCTGGCGATCGTGTAGTTGTAAATGTCAGTTCTTGTCCCCTGTACAGTTCCTGAGAAGGCAACAAGTTCTCCTCCTCTACAGAAGGATTTTGCAAGCATTCCAGCAAGTTCCAAATGTGTCTGACCGCTAGTACCTGAAGAACTGGGCAAGGGAAGAATTCAAAAGAAATAAAAGCGCCACAGAAGAGGTGAGAACAAAATCATAGTGAGAACAGCTTGGCTCTTTTGTATTGATCAGTGATTTTTTTAATTTAGTAGACATCTTGAAATATAAATGTCACTGAGGTGGTATAATTTTTTTTTTGGTGGAGGGGCGGGTCACTTGGGATTGAATCCAGGACCTTTCACATGCTAGGCAAGCACTGAATCTCTGAGCTACGTCCCCAGCTTTTTCTGTTTGTTTTTTGACATCGGTTTTCACTAAATGACTAAGTTGCCCAGGCTGGGTTCAAATTTGGGATCGTCCTGCCTCAGCCTCCGAGAATGCCAAGGATTATAGGTGCCCACCCAGCTAAGGCAGTATATTTTGATCATTACTTGTAATGGTACTTATTTCTATTCAAATGACATTTTAAAATTTTAAGTTATATCTATACAGTAGCATTACTTGGCTTTTATGCTGTACCACATAGATTTTAGCTTTCCTAATGTGTAGCAGTTCCAATCACACTGTTGACTTTGTGTTATTGTTGGAGTGTGTGTGGTGCTGGAATTGAACCCACAGCTTTGTGCATAGTAAACCCATTCCCTACCACTGAGCTACACCCACAGCCCACCCCTATTGGTTTTTGACTTTTATAAATAAAATAGCAGAACTATACCTTATTTAATGAGATAGAATGATAACCATATTTCACTTTCTAATACAGGACACAATCCGGATGATGATTACTCAAGGCAATATCCAGCTGAAGGAGTTAGAAAAAACACTTGCATTAGCAAAATCTTAACTAGCATTTTTCCAAAGGATTTTCAAATACTCATGTTCTGTTGAGTTTAGGATAATGGACAGCTCAAAGCCAAGTCAAACTGTTGATGTGTATAGCACTCAGGCACAATTTCAGAAGGTGGAGCACAGGATGTCAGAGAGACCAAAGAAAAGCACAATGAAACAGCTGCTTTAGATCTGAGAAATTCACCTGACTTCTGAGAATGTTTCTAGAATGTTCTGAAAATGTGTCATCTATTTTCATAAGAAGCAAAAAGTATTAACAAATAGCCAGCTGCACATGAAAAGATGCTCAACACAAATCATCAGGAAAATGCATAACAGAACCGTAAAGACAGCCAGGCATGGTGGTGTATGCTTGTAATCCCAGCACTTGGGAGGCTGAGGCAGGAAGATTGCTGCGTGTTAGAGACCAGCCTGAGCTACAAAGTGAGTTCAAGGCCAGCCTGCACTGCATAGTGATACCCTGTCTTAAAAAGACAAAAAAAAAACCCAAAAAAACCATAATGAGATAGCACTTCATTTTCACTACAGTGGCTGTAATTAAAAAGGAAAGTAAATGTTGGTGAAGATGTGGCAAAATTGCTCAGTAGCACATACCTGTAATCCCGGCACTCTGGAATCTTATTGAAAAATCCTTGTGTATTACCCTTAAGGGTCATTGAAGTACCTTGTTCAGCTGTTCCATGATTTGATAGCCAAAGGACTCAAAAAAACCCATCACTGGCAAATCTGGATCTTTGCTGGAAAGAAAACAAAAAGAATTTAGTGAACACAGTGAAACAGCAAAAAGATCAGGGAAAACTGTAGGTAACTTCTGGGTGAAACTTCCACGATTACCTTAATTTCGATGTGGATAGGAGTATATCCTGAAGGAGAATCCTTGGTGTGTCAGGTTCTTCTCCAAGTATAGGAAAAACAAAGAATTTTGAAGACTACGTCAGAGACAAATACATCACAACCAGAGTTGACTAAGGACACTTTTGAAAGCAATTAAATTTATTACATACAATTAATTTAATCAAAGATGTGGAAGTAAAAGCTTACGGGGTTTTAAAAAGGTGCTTGGGTTATCAGTCCTGCAAACTTAAGTCATGTTCATCAACAGAGAAGTGCTAAGAAGCTAATCCAAGAATCTGGTCAGATAGAGACACTAATCCAAGAATCCGGCCAGATATAGAATCTCAGAAGATGTAGACAAAATTTTGCAGAATGAAACATGGTACCTAGTAACTGCACTGTAAGCCAGAGGAGCAGCACCAACCAAAGGTGTGGATGCCAGAGCTCCACTTCCTATAGCCTCAGAATTCACAACATAAAGTACTTCTGAATACCCTTCTGAGAGAGTAATCTACTAATGCAGAATGCTTGTATGAGCCAGCTTTCAGGCTCCTAAAGAAGCATTAATATGTTGCAAAACCATCTGGCAAAAAAGAGAAGCATCCTAAGTTTTTGAATAAAGAATACTTCGGAAATACTTTGTGTGGTATGGTTGACTTGCATACTCAAACATAGTCTATCATAAACATAATCTTTTCCTTTTTGTTTTTGTTTTTTTGAGATAGGGTTTCGCTGTGCAGTTCACACTGGCCTTGAATTCACTTTGTAGCTGGCCTCAAACTCTCAGCAATTCTCCTGCCTTAGCCTCTGGAGTGCTGGGATTATATGCACGTGCCACTACACCTAGCTAAATACACCTAAAATCCTGAATGTAAAAAAAAATCCTTTTGTGGAATATGCAATCGGTGACTTTTTGCAGGAGTGTATGCAAACTTGAGCATTTGTGGTTTGAATTTAAGATGCAGATATCAGACTCCAAGAGAACTTAAGCTGGGGTTTGTGTTGTTTTTTGAATTAGGTAAAACACTGAAAATTGAATTTTTTCCCAGAGGCTAAAATTAATGTAATGTCCATTTTTTTTGTTTTTAAATCTTCATCTCTACAAAGTAGTTTACTTTGTTCACTTATATGCTTTGATTGAGCCTCTGAGTTGGAGATCAAATCTTCTCTTGTGCTAAAGAGATTCATTTTAGCAGTTTCTTCTCAGGTAAGAAACCACAGTCCTTAAGATAGTGGTCAGCGTAGAACTGCTGGTTAGACATTTTATTCATGAAGTGATCTGTATCAGTTTTGGGGATTAGACGGTTTTTCCCTATAAACTGTACTCCTGTTTGAGAGTTAGACTTTTGTTCCTAAAGTTTAAGATGTGTGACTGTGAAGCTATGCATGTGAACAATAATCCTTTTATAACAAGAGAAATGGCCACGTGCACTGTGTACACACCATTTGTTTGTCTCCACATCATTCTCCCCTTTAAAAATGTGCCGTCAGATTGGAAGCCTTAAGTTCATGGTACAAGCAGGGCTGTGGATGAGCCTCCCGAGACAGATGACTTTGGAATAGCAGGAAAGCAGAGCACGTCCCTGTCCTTTGTGTTACTGCAGTCACACCAGCAGACTTGCATGTGATCAAAAACATTGTCAGTCTGCCAAGCTAGAAATCACTACCGGCTATTTCCTCTGGTTGATTCAGGCCTTTACGAAATCATATTAGGATTAAGTTTATTATTTTTATTCACTGAAAAGAATAAATCACTTTTGAAAAGTACTTCATTCTGTCTTTTGTGTCTCGTAGGTTTAAGGTGTTCACATTTGATTTAAAGGGAAAGAATATTTCCACTTAAAATTACAAATGAACATTTGTTTTATTCACAGAAGGTCTTTTTAAATTGTCCTTTTAAATCATATTTAATTGGCTTTTATAATTCACAAGAGGAACTATATTTACTATTAGCAAGAGTTTGTCAAAGTATGATGTTATCTTGGCTTACATATTATTTATAGTACAAATGATATTTTGTCCTCCCCCTTTGTTCAGTACTTTCCAAACGGTCAACAGTTAAATCAGTTACGACTGTACTGAGAAATCTGCCATGCTACAGCAGTTCTATTTTGATTCAGTGCACCTCATCTCAACTTTAAAGCAGACAGATGGATTTCCTCTAAATCACACTTTTACAAGTGTGGCTGGCTCAAGGTATTCTTTCAAGAACCGTAAAATTTAGTCAACTTCAACAAATGAAACCATAGGCTAAACAGAGTAGTTACATTTTAATTTTTTAATGAGTTTAAGGTCCATCGTATTGGGAACAACATTTAACACTTGGAGCAGACACAAATTCAAGGTGATAAAAATATTAAATAGAAGACAAACATGCTTCCCAGTTATATCAACATTTGACTCAGAAAAAGAAGTATAACCATAAAAATATCATTTCCTTTATTTTGGGTTCCCAAAGTCAAAGTGAGCTGAGAACTAACATTCAGTTTATCACATATATTTAGTATACTCAATGTAATAATGTACTAATAATTTTAAAATGTAATACACAGTTTTTTTCTGTTTCACATCACTTTCCCACAGCTGTTGGAAGTTTCAGCCTCAAATTGAAATATGACTTAGATGACAGGCTATCAATTGTTTATAGTTCTGTTTCTCCAGAAAAGTGAACTTGGGGCATTTGCTTATTGTAGCAGATAGCTCAAGGGGAAAATACAGAAAAATACCAGACCTGCAGTTGTTCTGACAATGCTAAGGAACAAAAAAGACTTGACAGTTGTTGAAATTGCAACACTCATGTGATAGCCTTCACTGACACTTCAGCCCACTGAGTAGAAAGCTGACCGACCCTGTTCTCTTTCCTGCCTCTCTTGATTTCTGTGACAGAGCACAAAGAGACACTCTTGGAGACTGCCGGACTAGGTCCATTTGACATTTCTAATTCCTCTCTAATCTCTTCCCTAGTTGTGACTTTTGACAAAAATACCCGGTTCACAGTTATAAGCTGCCCGCTCCTAATGGACAGGAGGTACACAACCAAAACACTCCCATCAAAGCACTTTATGGCCTATTTCACAAGGAAACCTTGAGGAAAATATATTCTGATAAATGACAGTAACTCCCGCTTGGGAAATGACTTATGGAACTTCTCAGGATTTTCTCTCTTTGAACATTAGGCAGGTCCCAATAGGACAGTATATCCTGAAGCATGATCCTACAGAAGTTTTTGATATCTTGGGAATAGACTGAGAAAACTGAAGCTAGAACTGTCTACCTCTACAAGCCTGTGATTCGGCATGGGAAACAGTGAGCTGAGAAGGGAGAAGAGCCCTAGATGATCACGCTGGTGAGTGTCTGGGGAAGGACTTCCCTACTGTGGAGCTGAGGAACAGGACAGCTCACAACACGACATCACCTTGAGATCACATGCATTCCATCTGCAGCGTCTCCAACCGTGATGCTGACTTACATTTCTAGACTATCTATCCTTGAATTGCCCCCATCAGAAAAAAACCAAAACTGAGCTAACGGGACTAAACGCTTACTGTTTTTCAGGGTGTTTTCATGTCAACAAGTCGTTTTTCTTTGGCTCAGTGAGCAGTACTTTATTCACAATTATGGCCGGTAGCTGCTAGAGTCTTGTGTTAATAGAAACAGAATTGAAGTTTCTAGCATGTGTGGGATTTTGAGGAGACTGATAATCCCACATATCAAAGGACAAAAGCTTGAAAGGTAATTAAATCCGAAGTTGCAACATAGCCAAGCTGCTCTGATGCCTTTTTCCCTGTGTTCATTTCACTGCTGCTGAAGTATAGTCTTAAGGGCTCCGTCAGGCTGGGGAGCAGCGGTGTCTAAACCTCATCACTGACATCACCGTGACACAGTCACTGAAAGCCACGGAAAGTTTCCGAGCTGCTTCAGTGACAGAACTCCATTTAAAATCAAATACTTTAAAGGGACACCTTAAAAAAAAATGTAGCTCAGTCTCAGAAAGGTACTCTAAGATTATTAGGTTTATGAGTGGATTATAGAAGTTGCAGGTATTTGTTACCTAGATGTTCTTCCCATTAATCTGCTGCGATTGTTCTTTTGCCGAAAATATAGAAACCATGATTAAATCTTTGGAAGTTTTCTCATTTGAGCTCATTAGCATCTCTGGTCCTGTTAGCCAGCGTCCTGTCATTTAAATAATCTCTTGGCGTTTCAGAAAATTAAGATATACTGGATCTTATGAGGTCATGAAAATCTCCTTCCACTCAGAATCTATGTGGTAAATTCTGACCTGGTTAAAACATCACCACTTTGAGGACTGGAGTTCTGACAAAGAGGGCTGAGCCCGTCTCAGCGCTCCACCTCTCTTACAAAGACGCTCTTATCTAGGCACGGCAGGTGTATTCATATGAATGACTCACTGAGTTTACAAGGATGTAATTTTCTTGCTTTTGACTTAGAATTTCACACATCCTGAATTTTAGGGTTTAGGGTTACACATCATTCTGTTTCTTACATAGTTTGCTTAATCTGAGCTTTTGACCTTCAGATGACCCTGGGCTGAGGTTTAGCGTTTGTAGTGAAACCTGAAAGAGCAAGTTTCCCCTGGTTTCAGCTTAATTGCTGATGTCTCTTCTCAGTAACTGCAGGGTACATGAAGCGTGTCTATGGCACATTTCAGAAAGTAGTGATTTTTTTAAAAGGCAGATCTGTTACATGAACAGCTTCTTAGCCACAGCTATTCTGCAGTTGCAAAGCTAGAAATCCTCAAGAATTCTCTTTTGTTCTATTCTCCATATCCTAATTTTCCTTCTGCACCTTAGTCCTCAGTTTAGCAAGTTCCTCTTCTAAACTTTTAATGTGTTCCTTCAGTGTGGCCTTGTCCTGCTGGGCTTTCTGATTGGCCTGACTTCGTGCTTCTTCAATCTTCCTTTCGTACCACTTTTCCATCTGGGTAGAAACAGCTTCAAAAAAATACTGGGTAAGCTCCAGGGCTTGGGAAGTGTTGCGGACACGAGGGGCCGTCTGCTCGCTGCCTGCTGCTGGCTGCCCACAGGTGCCACTGGGCTGCTGGGTCCGATGCCTCATCTGCCCACTCTTCCCAGACTTCTTGGTTTGAGTGCCTCTGTTGACACATGGCCCAGCCTGCTGGTCACACTTGGATGCCTCATTCACGGGCAGCTGGGCTGTCTGGACCTTGACATTCCTCAGTCGGGAGCCTGTACAGTCAGAGGAGGACAGCTCCTGGAGTCTGTGGGGAGCAGTGGTGCTGGGGGCCTTTTCCTTGGGCCTAACCACTTGTGAAGAACTGTCGGACGCCGCTGCTGGGCCTGCAGTCACCACTGATTGATCCACACCTGGTTTCAGAAGGAGAACAGGCATCAGAGCAAACCCACATTCACAACCAGGTGGCAGTGGGGTGGCATTTGAGAGCCCTGGGGATCCTGTATACCATCAGCATATTCTCTCTGGTTCTCTTTGCCTTTTTGTCCCTCCTTCCTACTTCACCTCCCAAGATTGTCAGTTTGGCTCGTCAGGACTTTCATGAGCTCCGTGTTAGCCATGTTGGTCGCATCTAAGCCAAAAAATCCGCCAGGCTTTCCTTTTTTCCTGTCTCAGTTCTACCTTAGAAAGGCTCTAGGTCTCATCTTCTGATATGTAAAGATGACAGCTCAACATGTGTCTCAAAACAGAATGAACATTTATCTATTAGAGAAATAACCCCATTCTCTAATTTCTGTAAGATCTGTGTGCTTCTTTGTCTTAGGCTTCATTTTGGAAAGTGGGCCTGTTCCATATACCCAAAGCTCCAGGACAAGCCCCATGACTAGCCTTCGCCTGAAAACTCTGCCAGGATGTTTCCCAGTGTTGTTAGCACTAATAAGATAAAAGTACGTTTCCAGAAAAGGCAGTGAGAACACAAAACATTTGATATATCCGAGCGCTGCAGTGAGCTTAGTTACAAGGCTCTGAGCGGCCTCAAAATTATCACCACCGAGTCAGCCACAGTGGCAAGCACGTGTAGCACTCTGGGAGGTTAAGGCAGGAGGGTCGTAAGTCTGAGCCCTACCTGGGCAACTCAGTAACTTAGTGAGCTACTGTCTCAGAATTAAAAGGGGGTCGGGGCTGGGGACATAGTTCAGTGCAAAGGCCCTAGGTACCAATAAAAGAAATAACCATTTGGGTTAAGCACTAGTAGCTAATATAAAGACGCTTTGCTTGAAGTATCTCTTGCACCTGGGGCAAGTTCGGTATATGAACTACCATTTAATGAGGTTTTGCACTGTTGGACAAAAGTAAAGGCCAATCAAGAAGAGTATAGGGGAAAGGGTGCAACAGACAAGGGACAAAGCCCTGCTGGGGAGACAGATGGTCATTCATCACCCTCCTCTTTGGGGTCCACACCAATCCCACCAACACTGCACCTGATGCACTGTTACTGTTGACCAACAGTTTTATTCCTTCTTCATTCAAATGTTTGAGCACGGAAATGACATTCTTTATTACTGTATAGGAACTGAATACGTAGTTGTGAACAAAACATGGTCCATTTCCCTCTAGGGCCTACTCCACAGTCCAACTGTTCCACAGCCCTGGCCTCCAGAGGCTGGGGAGAACAAAGTCTGGGGGCTCCGTTACCTTTAAGCAGAGAGGCGCTCTCTGCACATGGGTTACCTGTAGAGGATTCGCAAGTAGATGGTGTGGATTTAGCCCTGGAGGCCCTAGAGTCCCCAGAAAGCTTCAGCTCCAGATTCTGAATCTTCAACATGCACCAAGTTTTTAACTCATCCACCAAGGACATCTAAAAATAAGTAATTAGCACACAAACAATCAAGTGGATTTGATTGTGAGTTAGAAGTATTAAGACTATGAGTTAAGGAGGCCCTTTTGAATGATAATTGAGGTTACCCATTTTGATAAACCTAAAAGTTGTGCATTACCCATTCACCCATAAGCCAGACGTAGCACCCAAATCATGAGCTATCTATAATCTTCATTCCGAGGCTTAGAGCCAGCCAAACCTTCCAAATCAAACATTTCTGGATGCTTAGGAGCATGAATTCTCACACACTCACAAATGGCACATCTTTTATTTCTGAGTGCATGCCTTCAGGGAGGACCCATGTTCGACAAGCATACCAGCCAGGGCACGCCCAGTACATGGAGCTGTCTCAGGTGGGATGTCCTTTTCCCCAACATGCTGTCTCCACCGACTGCCCGCACATCCAGCAACGGCCACAGACCAAACTACAGGTTTTTTGCTGTGAACTACATTTTGGGGTCATAAAAATAAGGGGAAATGCTTTGGGAGGGAGTCTCAGCCCCAGCATTTTCAATGACAGGTCTAAATCTTCTAACTCTGTAGCCAAGTAAATCCTCAGTGAAAACAGACAGCTACTGGCCTTTACCTGCCGTTTCTCTCCCTCATGCTTCTCAGCATCCGAGTGCTGCTGCAGGCGGTTCAGGCATTCTGTCCTCTCTGCCGAGAGTCGCTCAACCATCAGCTTGTCCAAAACACGCATCTGGGGTTCAAGGGGAACAGAGCGCACAGTGAGATGATGTAGGACAGGCCTGGGTCTCTCCATGCGTGAGGACAGGCTCAGGTATTCAGAACAGTCCACAAACACACAAGCAAACCCAGTTCTCTTTTCACACAGTGTTCTTAGGACGCTAGCTTTTCAGAATTCCTGAGCATATTTCAGTGTTCTTTCTTTTTCTCATTTGTGAAAGTCCTAATGGATTTAAGAGACTATGAAGACACAGTAAATATACAACTTGAGCAATGCAGACCTTGTAGGCAGACATGAATTTTCTAAGCCTTAGAATATTATTTTCAAGACTATTATTAGGAAAAACTTTCTCTAAAATGTGGAGCTATTAGCCTTACTCTACCCTTATTCACCCAATTATGCAAACATGAACAGATGCCCAAGGGGTAATGAAACAAGCAGAATACGCAGTGAGCCGATATTTTTGGTGCTACATTAAAAGTAGTCAAAGCATGTATAAAAAAGGTGTGGGAAGACTAAGGAATTGCTTTACACAGCAAGTGATTGTCGTTTTTAGTCGCACCCTCTGGGAGCCTGCCTCCATCTGACATCTCCTGGAGGCCTGAACACCTAGCGCCATTTTGTCATAGTCGGAGGAAAAGACCGGAACTGCTATTAGCAGGAGCCAGCCTGTGACGGCCCACTGCGAGTTCCTCTCCTGTTGGCAACATATATGGCCTTCCACACACAGATGTTCAGACAATTAAAAGACAAACAGTGGTTCTGAGGCTGTGGAGAGCACCTTATGATGTTTTTCTCCTCCGTCCCCATGTTAGTGAACTGTATCAATGTTTCCTACGACCACCTATTCCCTGCTCTGCATCCTCTTCCTGTGGAGGCGTCTCTGCCATCTGCAGTCCTGTGTATGCAGGGCTTTGCTCCTGGGTTGCAGGGAACTGGTCTAGGCCTCAGTACCTGACTTACACTGAGCCAAAATTCTGTCCCAGCCATTTGGAAGGAGGACTGACCTTACACCCCAATCTTTCAACTTCTTTGAAGTGAAGAGAGGCCCTTGGGATACCTAGCATCAGTCTAAAGTAGTCCTCTATGAGAGGGGCTAGCTAAAACAGCCTTAGGCAATCCATCATAGCCCTAAGATTTTTCAAACAGCCTTTCCACATAATGGAAACACCAAATACACCTTAAAATGTTCAAAGTCTTTGATTTCATTTTCTGTTAGAGCCCAAGGCAGTCAGGAGGCCGGGTGCTTGCTTACTTGGTGCTGGGTCTTACTCTCCATATGCCCCAGCTTCGTATTCATTTTATCCTGAACTGATCCCAGCTCTGCTTTTATCTCCTCCACAGTTGCCTCCAATTGATTCTCCAGCTTGTTGATTAGAGGTTCACATCGACAGCCATTTATTGGTGCCTAAGGGAAATCCAAAAGCAATCAAACTCTCCTTCATTCCTTCAACACGTTTTGGGCAGCCACTACGTGCCAGGCAGAACACCAGGGAGATACAGGTGATGGAGGAGCCAGGTCCACCCTGTCCTCACCGGAAGGTCCTACAGCCTGAGCGTTGGGCCCAGCGGGCACTAAGAACATTCTGAGGTGAGAGACGGTCCCTCTGTCTTCAAGCTGCTTTTCTCCCCTAGTCACCTGAGAATGGCGAGGCTCTGTAACTGAGCCTCCATCTACTGGGTCCTAAGTGGCAGGAGCATCTTCTAGGTCAAGGCCTGAGGTGCCCCCAGCCCCCTGGAATAGCGTTCCATGGACAGCCTTGCTGGTGGTCCCTGGCCCCTTCCTGACGAGCCCCCATGGACAGCCTTGCTGGTGGTCCCTGGCCCCTTCCTGACGAGCCCCCATGGACAGCCTTGCTGGTGGTCCCTGGCCCCTTCCTGACGAGCCCCCATGGACAGCCTTGCTGGTGGTCTCTGGCCCCTTCCTGACGAGCCCCACGGTACCTGCATCACTTTCCCATCCTTGCCCCGGTACAGTGTGTACAGCTGGTACGCTCTGAACTCATGGGGCGGTGGTGGGGACAAGCACCGATGTTTGCTTTTCTTTTTAGGGTGATGATGAGCATGTGGGTCCTTCTGGGGTCCCGGCTGTTGGTCTTCTGGGGGGATGAGGTCAGACAATGCTGACACCTGTGAGGGAGACAGCGCCAACACCCCTGAGCCCCGCAACATCGGCAAGAGTGACCCCAGCAGGGGGCTCCCACTCCCCCATTCAGCAGAGAATCCCACACCTTGCTTCGCCATGTGGTGTCCGCCCCCAGCCCCACACCGGCAGGCCCACCTCCTGTCTGAACCTAGCCAGGAGTAAGTTCTACGTTCTGGCTCCAAACCACCCAGCCAGGTGAGGAGGCTCCTCAGCCAGTGGGCACGACCAACCCCAGGATCCTCTGCCATCTCCCTCCCGGCTGCTTTCGCGTGCCTCCTGACCTTGGGCTTTGACTTTCTTCTCCTGTTATCCTTTCCTCGGGGCTCTGGGGAGGCAGACAGAAAGTCTTCTCTGGCTTCCTCTTTTCTGACCTCAGCCTGTTCGCTGCTGGGGGTGTCTCCTGCTGAGACACTGCCCTGCGGAAGGAAGAGCCCACAAGCCTGTGCCACCTACGCCTTCAGCCTTTTCACCAACGGGGTAAAGGTGGACGCTTGCAAGGCTCCATCCAGTGAGGCCCGTGGGACTCTTTACCGGTGAATTTCAGACGCAAGGAACACTGCCCGGTGGCCTTAACATGTAACGCTTTTCCTGTTTGGCTGAATATTCGGCTTTTATTTTGTTAGGTCTCAAATGAAACAGTCTTGGGTCTAATACTAGAATTCCAGGAACCTACTAGGCACAAGAAAGCATTAGATTTTTGGTCTTTTGCCTTTCAATAAAATATATAACCTCTTGCATCCTCTGAACTTGGACCCCCACAATCTATAGCAGAGAGTAAAAATACTCAGAAATGAAAAAAAGGTCCTGTTTCTCCTTCTTGGGAGAACTTTTACAATTTAACATGTACAATTCACACACAGGAGCTGAGAGTCACAATGCCTGAACACCGGCAATTGATGAGAGGCTCTTACTTATTTATTTTTTGATGAGAGGCTTTTTAAAAAAAAATGACAGAAGAGCAAATACTTGGTGGTAGCATCTGCTATGCCACAAGTCATCTCAGTGTCCTTGCCTTCCCCCGAGAGGCTGGGAAGGGTTGTGCAAGCTCTTCTCTAAGTGAGGGAGCAGCCGCGCCAGTGGGTCTCAGCAGGAACCACTGGAGGACTTTTCAAACCCAGGGGCTGGGCTCCACCCAGAGCTGCTGGGCACCGGTGTGGGAGGCCTGAGAACCTGCTTGTAACAAGGTCCCCGGTGCCGCACGGACCCTGCACTTAGAGAAGCACTGCTCTGCACAGTTAAGGGCACAGGGTCAGAGAGGCAGTGCTGTCCGGGCCACAGATACGGGGCTGAACGTGCCGTCCAGGCGGCTGGACAGAGATGGGGCGGCACACGCCAAGGCACAGGGTCCGGAATCCCAGCAGAGGGCAGGGAGGATGCGACGCAGGAGGAGAAGGCTGGTGGCCGTTTGAGGAGCCCCAGGGGGAAGCAGAGGCCGAGGAGGGCATGAGAGCCAGGGAAGCCAGTGGAAGAAGGCAGGGCATCGGTCGGGCGGCCAGCCACGGCCGGGCGGGCAGCAGGACCCCACCTTGCTCTGTGCAACCTCCTCTCTCGGTACAGACTGCGCCCTCCTCTCCTCCTTGAGCCTCTCTCTCCTTTTCCTCAGGCTTCGCCCGCGACTGAAGCGCAAGACCTATGGGAGGCAAAGGGTGTCGTTACGGGCCACTGGGCTGTGCAGCGCTGGCGGGAAGGACTCACCCCTGGGCCTGGTGCTCCTGCAGCCACGTGGAGGAGACCAAACATTCACAGAAAATGAGCGATTCTGTGCCCACTGTGCCTCTCAGGTCTTGCGCTGGGCAATGCAGGGCCCTGGATTGTGGGTGTAAGATATTGTAACTTCCAACCTCAGGAAGTTCGGACTGTGTCATGGTAACAGCAACACAAGCATTCACGGGCTGGGCTAGAATGGCCAAGTCAGTGTACACCAGGAACAGCACCATGTACACGACGTTGCCTGGGGTCGTGCAGTGTGGAAGCCCAGCGCCAGGCAGAGTCTCGACCTTGGTGCGCTGGACCCATCAGATTTCCCTCCATAACCTGTGCACAAGTCATACTCACTGTGACCCAAACGTCACTGAGGTGCATCCCTGAGCCACTGTTCCAACTGTGGCTTCCACAAGGAAATTTAGTCTGTGATGTGACCTTTCTGTGCTCTACCTTCTCAAATGCAAAGTTGCGAGGCGGGCATGCTGGTGCCTGCCTGTCGTCCTACACTCAGGAGGCAGAGGCAGGAAGACTGCTACAAGGTCAGCGCCACCCTGAGCTACATAATGAATTCAAGCCTGAACTACACATCGAGACACTGTCTTAAGAATAGTAAAATTGGGGAGTTGTTGGGATTAACCAAGAGTAGTAGTAAGTGACTCATACAGTGGACCATCCCTGCCAGGTGCCTCCCCATCTGCCATACTGTTTGTAATGGTTGATACATTGTGTCTGCCTTGAGAAGTTTAGGCACTAACTAAGCCACTCAGCAGGGAGCCAAGTCCTCACTGTAAACATCCTGAGGCTGTGCAAGAGGAGGTCCCACCCTAGGATGGAGAGCCTGCATACGATATAAGGGAGGAAAAGGGGCTTGCTCTCCGCTTTGCTCTTGGTGCTTTTGCTGTCTTCTGCTGCCTTGATCTGTTGCCCCATGCCATGCCGCCCTGCCTTGGAGCCAGCTGATTATATACACTGACACCTCCACAGATTGTGAGCTAAATAAACCTTTCCTTCCTTAATTTTGGATGCCGGGTATTTTGTCCCAGCAATGAGAGAAACGTAACTAACATAGCGTTACTTAACTGATAGAGGATATTCAACCACACAGGGAACAGATCTTTGACCTGGTGGAGCCCTTCAACCTCTGGCCTGTACAATATTTAAGAATGTAAAAGGATGCTTGGACCAAAAAAGTCTGCAGGCCACTGCTCTAAGCTATCTCAGTGCTGTACTCAGACCCATTTGGAAGTTAAGTCTGATAAAAACCTATTTGAGATTACTCACCTGATTTGTGGACTTTTTGAACAGGACACAGCCCAAATCTCAGCCTGCAACTCACTCATACAGTATGGGTAAATTATGTTAGTCAAATATGATAAATGATCATAGAGGTCATCCATACAAAATAATCATGAGAAGGATTCCCTCCATTTACTATGTTTTCAGCCAGTGAAAATAATGGTATGGCTTTTAGCCTCTCAAAAGAACCATACCATCCATCAAACTGAATACTATTAATCTTTTCCAGTCCACAGAAATCAGGGAACACTGATCTTGAAGGCTCAGAAAAAAGTTTCCTCTTAGTACTTGAATGGGCCTTTGTGGCCCATTCAAGTGCATGCTAACTAAGGAGCTGAGGCCAGGGGATTTCTCTTTATAGACAAAACAAACAGTGAGGCTGCTTCTGTAACCATAGATCATCAGGACAGTATGCATAAAAGTTTATGCACATTCTAAAGTTCCCTCTCTGGGTTGCAAATAAGGCTTAGCATCTACAATTATGTATGAAACTTTTATAACATATCATCTAATTTGCTATTCAGTACTGTCACAGAAAAACTTAAATTATTTTTAAACATAAATACAAAAGGAAAGCTGCACTGGGAAATGGCAAAGCTGTTTGCCCTGTCAGTGAAGCTCCTTGGGCTCTCAAAGACAAATGACAGCGAGGCACAGTGGTGCACACCTGTAGTCCCAGCTCTCAGGAGTTTGAGGCCAGCCTGGCTACATAGGGAGTTCAAGATCAGCCTGCCTACCTGTTCAAGATCAGCTTACATAATGAGACCCTGCCTCAAAAAAAAACCTCCTAAAATTAAAAAAAAAAAAAAAAGACAAATGATAGATGGATTAAAGATACATCAGTCTTCATGTGCTTAGGGACTTCTCCAGCCACACAAGACTTAATGATCTTTGTACAGCTGAGGATGGGCTGGTGGTCCATCAAACTGCCAAGTGCTGAAATGCCAGATAAGTGTGATGGATTCTGACATTAGATAGCACTTTGTACCACATGTGCACACGTGTGTGTCACTGAGGACTGGACCCCGGGCTTCACACATGTTAGGCAGCAGTCCTGCCACTGAGCTCAGTGCGCAGTCCCACTCTGTACTTTTTGATCCATGAGTGACAGCATTTTCCCATCTGGATTTGTAGATGTGATTCAATTGATGACTCTTTGCAAAAACAAAAAACTTGTAAGAGATGGACTATTCCACGTCTAGAAGTGCCTCAGACCTCTTATCAGGAGTCTATGGATTTTCAGAAACCACAGGATCAGCCTATGCTCACGAGGTTGATCCATTTTGGAAAAAGACAAAAATCTTAATGATTCCAGAAACTGCTGGTCATGTTAGGTATGTTTTTAAACATTTAAAAATAAGGACCACACAAAATCCTAGTCCAGGCTGGTATTCAGAATCTTTTGACTCCTTGAGACTTTGCCTTCTCACAACATTGGCCAGAATCAGATGAAAATCAGTCAGTGTTTGTGGTATTGTGATATAGAATAGCTCCAATCTGTGAATAACCTAAATGTCCAACATTAAATAAATGGTTTTAAAAATACTGACACTAATAAAAAAGAACATAATGCTTCCATTATAATGAATGATTATGAAGAGTGAAGAATGTTGTCTCATTATAGTTAGGATAAAAGGCAGAATACAAAAGGGCATACATAATGCAGGCCTGGTTACAGAAAAACTACCTGTGGAAGGTAGTGCTAAGAGACAAAGTTATTTCAGAATACTGGTGTTATATATTAGTACTACATTTATTTATTGTTAGATATTTCAATCTCAATTCAAATGATGAGGCACCAGCGACCATTTTTTTTTTTTGTTTTTTGTTTTTGGTTTTTCTCTGGTACCGGGAACCGAACTCACGACCTTGCGCTTGCCAGGCAGGCGCTTTTGCCGCTGAGCTAAATCCCCAGCCCCGTCCAGCGACCATTTTTGAATGAGGATCACAATACCATTATTCTATAAAAAAGAAAAGAAAACTATGTTCTCCTTACCAGACCCTGGTGAACATTTACTACTCTGTCTGCCCGGAATGGTCCTCTCCCTCCCACTTTCCTCTGGGAAATGCCCCCTCTCATTCCAAAGGCCCCGTCCCATCTGTTCAGGAGTGGCATTTGCCCAACCTCTTCAATCATGGTTCTCTCTCCTGTCATGTTTTAAACTGGAGCTCCTGGCCAAGTAGCTGGGAAACTAAGGCCAGGAAACTGGTGGTGACAATGATTAGCTGCAGGCAGAAAATGATGCCCACATACAGAGACCTAGACTTGAAGTCTTTGGTTCCAGTCATGCAGAAGGCCCACCATATTCCTACATTTCCCGCTGCCTGGCTAAACCGATCAATCCTCTACTTACTTACTTTCATTTGGCTTCAACAGTTTGCAACCAGAGGAGTCACAACAAGTTTGAAGCCACATAATCAATACAATAGAAAGTATAAGAAACCCTACCTGGGGCGCTTTAGTGAGGAGAAGAGCGACTTCTGGATTATTGTGGTAGCGGGCAGCCTCCAGCGGAGTCTGGCCTGCCTAAGGAAAGGCAGACAGAGGACAGGTGAGAGAGGGACACCAGCCCTGTCACACATAGCTCTCGCCAGGAGCACACAGTTCCACTCCTGACCACACCCAGCATCTGCCTGTGCTCCGTTACACCGCCACATGACAGCTTGCTCTTTACCTCACGCCATGCACTGAGGGGCCTCGTCCCACTGAGCACATGCTAATTAACACTTCTCAGCAACAGGGGCAAGTGCTGCCTGGGGATCAAGAAGTGCTTTAGGAGGCAAAGGTCCAGGGCACTGCCCACTAGGAAAAGAAGGGAGGAAGGGTAGAGGGATCAAGGAGGGATGCTTCTGCTGAGGACAACACAGAGGACCCTAAAATCCATGTAACAATGACTCTTCTTGGAGAAGAGTGGAGAAGCTATGACCATAATGTAGGTGCCAGCTAAGCCAAAAGCCTAGGAGCCCCAGGGGCTGTGGCTCCAGCAGAGCGCGCTGGCCCCTCGGGTCTGTAAGGAGTTGGGTTATAGCAACACACCCCCATGGAGTGGATGAGAAAGTCTTCAGAAACCAGGTGCAATTCAACTTACATTATTCACAATGGTCCCATCTGCTCCAGCTTCCAGGAGGATTTTAACCACCTTCTTATGATTTAGGGCAGCGGCAACATGAAGAGCTGTGTCTCCAGCCTGAAAATCAGAAAAAACCCTGCTAAACCCCATCTGATCTTGGCCTTCAGCTCTGTAGCCTTTTACCCCTGGCCTAGGGCAGCTCTCCAAAGTCAAACTAAGATTTCTCTTACATAAACCCTAGGCCCTTGGTTAAAGTGTCACGTGGTTCTATTTAAAGAGACCTTGGAACTACACAGCTATCCCATGTCACATTCTGATTGGGGGTTCCAGAAGTCACAGAATAGGATTAAATGCAGAAGCAAAGTCCTGCTGGGCTTGGTTGGTGAGAATGGTGGGGCCGAAGCATCGCAGAGGCAGGATGACGGGCAGAAAGCCAAGGGTGGGCGGGTTCTCATCCTGGGGCTCTGGACCCTGTGCCTCCACCCAGGGAGTTCAGAAAGCAACGTGGCTTAGGAGAGCTGGACTGAGCAGAGTACAAAAAAGATAGGGGGAGTACAGCCCAGCCCTCAGACACAGGGATCTGAAGGAGCCCCAAGGACTTGTAAATCCACCTGCAGCCTTGGGATGTTCTTTCTTTGGGAGGAGACATCACGTGCTCATTTAAGACTGTTTTCTATCTCTTACCGTACAGCCTAGAAATATGTTTTATATTTTCTTTATACACAAAATGTTTTTGATCACTCTAAAAGGAGAAAAAAAACGACTGCAACTTTAGCCAATTCCAAATGCAAATGCTATAATTTTCAAATACTATATGAATAAGTCAGACAGATATAGGAGAAGTAAAATACTCATTCTCTCCCCTGCCAGGTGATAAGGCAGAGAGCTTGATACCTTTCCACAGGCAGTGTGAAAACTCAGCCATCTCTGTAAGTAGGAGCACAAATAGTTATTTCTTTTCTGAGTCACTTAGCCGTGTGTGTTGGGGAGCAGGCTCCGTGGAAGCGGTTTCCAATCTTGGAATCCACTAGGGAGCTTTAAAAAAACACTGATGCCAGGGTTCTACCTCCAGACCTGGTCTCATTGGTCTGCAGTTGGAGTTGGGTGTGAGGATCTTCTTAAAGCTCCCTGGCAACTGTAAGCTGCTGCCAAGCTTAAGCAGCACTGATTGGTGGGGACTGCAGAGGGAGCCTGATGCACTAGAATCCACTAGCGAGGTTACAGAATGACAGGCGTGACTACTGGCTCAGTGAGGGAGCTCTCTAAAAAAAATACTAATGCTTGGACCGCAAAAACCCAGATGTTTGGGCTTTGGGTTCTAGGAATAATTTTAGTTCCTCTGTTGATTTTCATATGCATTCAGGTCAAAACACTGTTCTAAGATAAGGTATCTGTAATCTGAACCACAATCTAATTTTTAAATATATTTCAGATTTATGCACCCAAACTCAAAAAAGTCAAACAATGCATCATTTAGGTATCAATAAATATGAAGACAATCTATTTCTTTTATCCAAATGGCTATTGAGAAGCTTGTAGCTTTCCAGAGAAGACTGTAACAATCAAAGCTTCGCTTCAAAACCCCATTATATGGTACAGACCCAGGCCATGTACCTGGTTTTACAGAAACAAAAGAGCGCAACAGCTCAAATAAAAGTGGCAGTACGAGGAAGAAACTCAGGAGAGTCGTGAAACTGCTAATTCCCTTCTGTAGTGAGCCACACTCCTCCTTGTGAATTTCCTTTCTGAAACCATGTTTTGAATAAAATTCACACTAGGATCTCCAAAACCAAGTTCAATATGAAAATGTGGTGATACGAACAGGAATGATAAGGGTGCACTTTCTCTAGGAAGTGAGAGAAGACAGGGCCACTGGGATTCAGTGGGATGCCCCGCAGGAACCAGTGCTCCTGGAGACCAAGACAGGTCAGAGGGCAACATTTCCCAGCAGCCTCTGCTCTGCTGGAGTTAAGTACCGCCCCTATCGGTGGCCTTACGTAACGGTGCTGGCGCCATGAAGAGGATTCATGCACTGACCTGGTTCTTTTCATGGACAGAACAGAAAGCACTGAGGAGGAGCCTAATGATGGACAAGTGATTATAGCGAGCAGCAACGTGCAAACAGGTGTCGCCTGCCTGCGGACAGAAATCAAACTCTAAGCAGTCAGCAGTTACAAAACAAAACAGAAAAATAAAAGGCAAATATCATTTAAAAGCTGGTGGGTATATTCTTTAAGGGACGTTAATGGGATAACAAGCAACTCTTGTAACACAGAGGCTCCACTCCAAGACGTGCAGTCCTGTGCTACTATGGCTGCTGTCGGCACGCCTGCTAACTCTCCACCTGTGAAGAACAACCATGTGGTCAGCCAGAATCTCCGCTTCCACGCTTGTGAACTGGATGCCTGCTCTTCACGAGACCTTCAGAAGAGCTTGGGTGGGTGATAAGGACCCACGGGCCTGGCCTCCCCAGCTGCCCGAAGAGTCTGGTGTGAAGTGAATTAGACCCAGTGGCACTGCTTTGGAAACAAGCCTTTCTTGGCACACAGCCACCATGGCTGGTAGGACTCTACCACACAGAATAATAGCCTGGACTGCGGATGCGCAAGTAGTCGCTGGCAGCACAAGAGGGCACTCAGGAAAAGTCAGGATCTTCCTTAGTGGGCACAGACCCAAATCCCACAGCCTCAACAACAAAAGTGGAGACAAAGTTGTGATGCTCTCCAGTGTTCTCTTGACATTTTCATTTTAGTTGTCTGGAGAATGGCAACCACTCACAACCTTCTCCCCTGGAGTACGAAAGAGCCAAGCTCAAAGCTGAGGTTCAGAGCATTCCAGATCTGCCGCAGAGGAAATCTGTCCCCAAAAGGGACAGCCCCAGCTAACAGCACTGCTGGGAGAAGCCTCTGATCCTCTTCCCAATGCATTAAGGCTAGAGTTTATACAGGAGAGACAGCTCATTTGTGGAGGAAGGAGCGACATTCAGGGGACCTTTCCGGTCAGCTCATCAGAAGGACACTGCAGTAATCACAGGACGGGTGCTGTGTGTGCAGGCTGGGTAGTGAGCGTCACAGGCCCTCCCCCGCCCGGCTCTGTCCTGAATTTGCTAATAGTACAATACTATGTAGGTGGAGATTTTCTTAAAGTATTTACAGGTTTCTTAGACTGTCTTGGCCAGACACATGTTAGATGAAATAACACTAAAGGTGAGGAGCAAAGGGAGAAAGATTTTTAAAAAAGGAAGAGTTGAGAGGCAGGCCACAAATACTAGAAACTGCCTCTTCATTTCTAGATGTTGATACTCAAGTATGCCTCTGGGTTTACTTTTCAAGGAGGACACAAGAGAAAGAGCGCGAAAGAAGCCGGTTTGTTCACCCACATTATTTTTGAGGTCGGCGCGGGAGCCGCCCAGCAGGAGGATGCGCGTGCTCTGAGAGTGGTTGTTCTGGCAGGCCAGGTGCAGAGCCGTGTTCCCCGCCTTGGAGAGACGCAGAGAGAAGGGAGGACATGTTAGCGCCGGGCTTCTGCACAAACCTACACACCTTGCCGAGCAGTGGTCCTCACTCGGGGGAGGAAGTCGCTATTCTGCTCTGCCTCCTGATTGCGGGGTGGAGGGATCCAAAGGAAGAACACTGATGTGGAGTGCAAACAGGCAGGAGAGTTCCGTGTCACATAAAACCTTGGTGGCAACTTCTAGCTGAGTCTCTTACTAGCTGAAAGCCACTGGGCAAGGCTCTTCAAATGCCCGGCCTCCATTCCTTACCTGGGAAGTGGAGCATGCGCCCTTCCTCCCGAGCCTCTGAGTCTGAGTGTCAGAGGCATGCTGCAAGGTGCAGAGTGCAGGAGCACAGGCACGCAGCTGGGAATCCCTCTTGCAGATGACTTCCTGCCAGCAGGGTTCCCATCCTGCTGACACTGTGGAACACTGTGCTACTAATGGTGGGGTAAAGAGGCAAATAGACCACTTCCCGAAAGTGCTGGCTAACAGTAGTCGAGAGACAGCTTGCAAACATTTATCCGATTTCCCCATTCTTTTTTTTTCGTTTCTGTGTTTTTGTTTTTCTTTGAGACGGGGTCTCCCTATGTAGTCCGGGCTGGCCCTGAGCTCCGTGTGTAGCTCAGGCTGGCCTCAAACTCACAGTGACTTTCCTGTCTGAGTCTCCTGAGTGCTGGGGTTACAGGCATCTGCCACTGCGCCTGGCTTTTCTTGTATTTTTCTTAAAACATCAAAAATGGAACTAGGAACGAGGAGCCCCGCCTGTCTGGAGATACTGTAAATGCAGTTCTGTCTACTGCTTCCCATACGCTCTCTTGCTTTTTTGGACTCTCCTGGCAATGTGCCGCCTCACCGTGACAACCAAGAGACAAAACACTGCCCGTGGAAATCTTGCAGAAAGAACTGCATGACGTGTACACAGCTTTGTGATTCTATGGGAACAGGGCCTGCAAGGCTGCAGATGAGCTCCAGAGAAGTAACACCGCGAGCAGGAAACACAGTAGGAGGCATGGCGTCCTCTGAGATTGCCTGCACACTCGGATGCTAATGCACGATCTCGGGGTCTGTCCCGCTAAGTGAGGGAGCCAGGTCAGGTGGTAGCTGCATGGGCACGTGGCCCTGAAGGTGCCTGCAGCTTGTCTCTCCCTCACCTCGTTTACTTCCCTCTGGATCTCACAGCACTGTCTGCCGCAACTCCAGGATATCAGGTTCCTGACCTTTCCAGAAGAGGAATTAGCAGAGATGGAGAGATACAGACAGATGAAACTGTCCGTCGCCAGTTCCCTTACTTCCCCTCTCCTAGCCTGAGCTCCTGCCAGCCTGGATTTTCTGTTACCTGCACGAACACGGTGGACTCCAAGCCCGAAGGTCTGGTGAGCCCAGCGGTTCTCAGCTCCTGGCTGCACATTAGTCACCCGGGGTTGTGTCTCCGAGAGGACCTGCACAGCTCCCACCCTTCTGGGGACTTGGGACTCTGAGTTACTTGTCCTGGGCTGCCTAGGACAGCTGGTTAGCCTAGACTTTTTGTTGTTTCAAACTCCCCAGGAAAATCTAATATGCAGCCATGTACAGAACCACTGCTAACTTAGTTCTCAACAATGAAGACTCTGCCTACATTTAAATGCTTTGCTCCCAACTTGTTAGTCTCAAGGGAGTCAATTAAATATGTACTGAATCAATGAGGGAAGTAAGATAAATCTGATGGCTCCAGAAATATACCAAAGTTTACTTTGCCAATAACAAAATATCAATCGTGTGGAAAGTACTTGGCTCATGACAATTAAAATTGTAGATTCTGATGGTAACTTGTGTACATCTCCAGTGGAGTACTATTTGGCAATAGAAAATGCTGAGCTGTCCACACATGTAACCACACAGAATCGCAAACACACTGCACTGAGAGAAGTCAGACACAGAAGGCTGTGTGTTGCATGATTCCACCTGCATAGCATTTCTCATCTTTTTTTTTTTTTTTTTTTGGTACCGGGAATTGAACTCAGGACCTTGTGCTTGCCAGGCAGGCACTTATGCCACTGAGCTATATCTCCGGCCCTCATTTCTCAAAAGGCAGATCTGTGGTTGCCAGAGGCCAGGATGGGGATTTGGGGACTGCCACCAAAGGGTACAGAGGAACTTTCTGGGGTGGTGTCAAAACTCATAAACAATACTGTTCATACCTAAAAAATGAACTTCATGTATGTAAATTGTACCTCAAAACCTAACATTAAAAAAAGTGACCTATGGTAGATATATGTAGCAGGCATTTTTGCCACCCTGAGTAATGGGTACTCATTTCCTAGACAGAGGCTGCTTTACTTACTGAGCAAGAAGGAACTCTCTAGAATCCTTCCATGGACTGTCTAGTGCAGAATATAAAAGCCCCTCTTCTGGAATGCCAAGAGAGACCATACCAATACTTCCAAAGCCCCTGCCACTTTATCTACAGAGAAAACGCGTGGCTTTTCACCATTCTGTTGGGGCCCTTCCTATGACAGAAGGCAAGGTGGTGGACCAGACAGACTAGGGGGAGTTTATGGCCCTAAATGTGTCACCATCACACATCTCAGTCAAAGCGTAGGTGGCCCACAGCTTAAGCTTAATAATCCTGAACTGGGACCACATATTTCTCACAGTTGGGATAAAAGGACGACGTACAGCCGGCCAAGCAGTGGGCCAGGCATCACTGGTGCTATTGCCACACATGCTTTGCTGCTCTCCCTCAAGCCTTTGACCCACGAGGGAACCATGAGAAGCACGTGACCCGTGGACAGCAGCACAAAGCCGGATGCAGCGCCAAGGGAGAGCTGCAGGAAATGGCCTGACGGGCCTTCCAGGAGAGAGACAGGCTTGGGGTCCAGACTGGAGGTTTGCAGGCAGAGACAGGAAAGGCTGCTCCTAAAGGACTATGCACCCAGAGGAGATGGCGAGCCCTGCTCCGGCAGCACAGGAGACACATGACAGCCAGAGGGCAGCAGGAGGCTGGGAGCTACCTTGGAGGAGCGAAATGGACGAGGCACTAGATTTGGGCCACTCGCAATGCCACAGGGTTTCTGAGATAATGTAGGGGTGTTTAATAATGAGCATGGAAAGAGGGGCAGATGGGACACATCAAAGGAACATCTTACAGCGTGATAAATGACCAGAGAGGGGAGACATGACAATGGAGAAGATGAAACACTTATTCTGTCCCTGTCCCCTTGAGGACAAGGATCGCTTGCTTCTTGACACGAGTAAGCCCCTGGAAAAATGGGAAGAGCTGGGAGATTTCAAAGGTGGTCAAAGCCACTGAAGCAGATTCTCTCGCTCCCCATGTAGGCTATATTCTTTGAAACATTTTCAGCTCTCACTTTTTATTTCCTATAGGAAGTGAGGCCCACAGAAGTCACTACATATGAGATCTTTCGCCTGGTATTGCTTGCTGTTGAAGGTCTTGCATGGAGATAGGGATGCTGGGTCTTAGGCTAGCGATACTGGGTATCAGATCCTACTTTGATATGAAGCTGTACACATGACCAGTGTGTACTGGTTTTAGGGAAGGTACTTAATCCTGCCTAGAGCCTCCTGCTGCCACCCACATGGGATTCATTACCCCCTCACTAGTAGGTGAGCCCACCACCCTGTGATACCAACCGCACAAGTGCACTGTGGGAAATCCTAAGGCCTCCTCATTCTTGCCACAGACCCACCCTGGCCATCCCAGGACTGAAAAGAGGGCAAGCCCTCTTATGATCTCTTCTCACCACTACTGCAAATATCTCAAGAGTACTGATAATGCTTTTTTTTTTTAACCTTGAAAATAAGCTTCTCCAAATGTGTAGAAAAAAAAAAAATCAGTTGATTCTGGAAACTTTGAAAAATGTACAAAGTAAAAACAAAAATAGAAATCAGTCTCAGTTCCCATAGATAACCATATTAATATTTTGGTAATATCCTTCCGAGCTTCACCTTTTTAATGTATATACTTTCATATGAAGCTTTGTACCCATTTATCACGCTTTTTCACAAAAGCATGATTTTAAAAACAATGACTTTAGTGATACTGATTCCATTATAAAAGTAGATGAGAACTCTACACTCCTCTTCCCACATTTAAAAAATTATAATTATTGCTGTCATAACCATCTTTGAAGGTAAATTTTTTACCAACATATTTTGCTGCTTTTTTTCAAGGTCCCGGGAGGGAAGTTACTAGGCAAAAAGATAAAATCTTTTTTTTTTTCCTTTTCCTTTTCTGGATGCTAGGGATCAAGCACAAGGCCTTACCTATGCTGGGCAAGCACTCTCCCACTGAGCTTTACCCTCAGCCCATTAGAACCATTTTTAGGTTCTTGATTGGTTTTTCCAAATTGCCTCCCAGGAGTGGCTGTGCCGTCACACTCCCCCTAGCAGCACCTGAGTGAGCCCACTTCACCGCGTTCTTGCTACTGTAGGGTCTTAGTATTTTACAGCTCTTTGCTGATGTTTTTTCATAGCGCTCTCTCTTGCCGAATTTTCATAGATCCAGTGGTAGGTATGGTAACCAGTCAGTTCCCAGTGGCGGTCAGGGCCTCTCACATCAGCTGGGGCTAGGCATGTTTCTGACCTGGAACATCAATCTGCTTCTGCCTTCTCTGAAAATGAAACTTCTGGGCAAGACCGACCCCGCAGGGCTCTCCGTACTCCTTGGAGCTATCGCTGTGCTTGCTGAATGGAGACACCCCTCCAGAGAGCGACACCCACAGCCATCCTCACCTGTGAGTGAGGAGTTCTAGCACCTGCCGGGCCTCACCTTGTTCCTAGCAAGCACATTGGCTCCTGCTTTAACGAGCAGCTTGGCTGACTGGCTGAAACCATGCCAGGACGCTTCATGTAGGGCGGTGTTTCCATCCTAAGGAGCAGACAGGGGAGAAGGTACGTTATCATGACTGAGTTCTCCTACTGATCAACATATCACACTGGATACCACAGGGCCTTCATCAGCCTGGGTTCTTCACCTGAACCAGAACACAAAAAAGGATTTGGGTGGCCAGTGTCTGCATTCTCCCAGAAACAGCACGTGAGAACCACTGCAGGTACACAACAGAGAAATGAATTCAGATGTTCCACGGATGTCTTAAGGATTAGGGCCTAAACGTCCCTAGGAGCTCTACTGAGAAAGGTCCCAGGACCCACCCACAGCTCCTGTCCAGTAGAAAGCGACATATTCAGGAGGGCACAGTGTCCACTCCTCCCCACCTCCCTGCCCGCTGGGGTCTGCTCTGTTCCTGACACCAGAGTGAACCCGCAAAGAGGGGGAAGAGTTTTCTGCTTCATGAGTTCCAGGACCCTCATAGATAGGTCCCCTTCCCACTCCTTACTGCTGGGTTTTTTTTAAACCAAAATGTCATCCAGTTTATTCTTAAAGCCCTAAGAAGAGTAGGCAGCCAGGAAAAAGTGGTTTGTAAATGTGATGAAGAAGTGTCCTAAATATGTGGCTTTTAAATAAAAACTAATTAGTAAACATAGCTTGTATTTGCTTAACTTACTACTGAGAAAAGAGAAATATCATTAAATGCAATGAACTGAATGAGGGAGAGCCAGGAATGAAGGGGTCACTGGGGGGGCAGCGTGGAGGGGAGGTAGAGACGCCACGCTGTCCCTGGCCGAGGTACAGGGCACTTGGCAAGGTCAACATAGGTGCATTCTCCAGATACACCCAGGCTCTCGCTGAGACCTACTCAGCCGCATCCATGCCCCTAGAAATACGCATGAAGAGACGAGGCCTAATCTAGCTGATATCCACAAAAAGGAGTCGAGGTCCACGAGGCCAGGGAGTGGGGCAGTGCTGAGAATGGTTTTGGTGATGCGTGTCCTCTTGCGGATGCAAAGCAGAAACAGAAGGAAAGGGGAGAGGTGGTGTAAAACCACACCGGCAGGGGCTGGAAGGAGCTGTGTCTTGATTTGATGCCCACACAGGAGGTGAGGCTCGTGGAGCGCACACGTACGATCTGGGTGCTTTTCTGCACGTATGCTACACTTTACATGAAAGTTGCTGGCAGCGGGAGGAGGCAGAGGTGAATTACACGTAGGCAAGGTACATGTTTTAAGAGGGACAACGTAAAAACACTGGGTCAACACATACCATTGGGATTTCTTAAAGATCGTGGACTTTGCTTATTTTTTTCTTTCAATGGTTTAAAGACGTTAACTTGCTTTCTTATCTAAAAGCAGAAGGTAAACAGAACATCTGAAGGCACATCCTCCAAGTCCCCACAGGTGATAATTTCTAGATTTTTTTTTTTCCTTTTACCATTTGGGTTTATGTGGTTGTTACCGGTGCCATACAAGAGAGAAAGGGGTTTTACCATAAATACAGCTGGTTGGGAACGAGGTACTCTTTCAGAGGAAATCTGCGCTGATTTCATCTTGTGAAATCACGACTGACAAGCAGGAGTAATCAGGTTATGAAGTGGCTACGAAGCGGACTCCTTAGGAATCTGATCACAGCCCCCGCCTTAGGGAGTAAGTAGCGGACACCCCCACCTCACCTTGTCTTGGCGGTCCAGGGCACATCCCTCCTGAGTGAGTGCTGCAATGATCTCTGTGTTGCCCACCACCGTGGCCCGGTGCAAGGCAGTCTGGTCCCCCTGCAAAGCGACAGAGGCAGGGACAGCGGTCAACTCTCCCAGCACACCCCCACGCACTCACTCCTCCACTTGGACACCGGGACATCTCCTGTCCCCACACGGAGCAGACTGGTCACTTGCAGAACATCGTGGTCACCTCAGGCAAGGTGGGCTTTGTGGCCTTGTTAGGAGACAGTGCATGCTGGCAAAGCAGTGTAATTCACAGGGACCTGAAATCACTAGCAAGAATGGAGATCAACCTCAGAAGGAAGGGCCGACCCTGTCCTGTCTTCCCGGAGACGTGACTGCCACACATGTAAACAGTGGGTCTGGGAGCTAGGCTGTGTGCTCTATGCAGATAAAGCAGTGATGCCTTTATTCTTTATCCCCGAGGCCTGAGGTCCCAGCTTACAGAATTACTTCCCAGCCACTTCAGTTAGTAGCACTCATGCTTTGATGACAAGTGTGTAATTTGTTCACTGCTTTGCACTAGCCAAGAGCAATGCAGGGGTCTGCCTTGCTTCACCTGAGGACTGCAGGGGCTGTACCCTATCACTGCATCCTCACTGATTTATGCTGCATTCGGACCTCCTTTCGCTGTGATCAGATTCCTGGGATCACGAGCCAGTTTTCTCCTTCAGGCGCCAAAGGGAACTTGACTCTTTCCCCTAATTGCAGCGGAGAGAAGGATGAAACACTCCCAGAGGTAAGAAGGTCAAGACTGTAACAAGAGAGAGTTCCGAGGCTCTAAGAGCACATTTATCTCTGACATGTGCTCAGGAAGTCACGTTGGGGCAAATCAAGTCAGGCCCATACCCAGGTTCGAAAGGAGAGATGGTCAACCGTGTGGAAAGTTCCTGGTGGAAAGGAATGAGCACACAGCCAGGGGTCCAGGAGAGCTGGGCCGTGGACAGCCTCAGGAGACATCTGTCACCGTGGTGGGCCTCAGATCTTCACCTGCAGAAAGTGAGGGCTGAGGATGCCAGAGGTCCCTCTCTTCTGCGTTTGGATTCTATGATTTGGTTGGTAAGATTTATGTAAGTGAATTTTCTTGACAGAGTGTGGAGAGGTAAAAGACACGCTCCAGCACACCCGTCATCCTTAGCCCAAGAGAGACCACTGCAGGACAGATAACAAATTTTTAAAAGTAAGGACCTGCAACTAACTCCAAACAGCCTTAATAAAATGCAGATTCAATTTACTAATCTTCCTGGGGCTTTAACCAACAATGTATATCAAAAGCATTTACTCTGAAAAAAGCTACAGAGAAGCATGGCAGTGATGGTTTCACAAAAATAAGAATGTCCTTTTTGCCCCTGAACAGTATGCTTAAAAATAGTCACGATGGGCCGGACCGGGGATATAGCTCAGTGGCATAAGCGCCTGCCTGGCAAGCACAAGGTCCTGAGTTCGATTTCCGGTACAAAAAAAAAAAGCCATGATGGTACACTTTCTTACCCACACCTTATCACAGTGAAAAACCTATTCAATCCTAGTTAAAACTCAAATTTGTTTTGTTAAAATTAAAATTCTGTCTCTAAAAATCCACAAAGGGAAGTGATTTTTATTTTCTTCCTTATACTTTAATATCTTGTGATTTTTTATATTTAACACATATAACTTGGAGCATCAGGAAGAATACTAATTAAAAGTCTAAGCAATAACTATGTATCAGAATGTATCTATCCATGTCTCACAATCTTTCTTCAGAGTTCATTTGTAGAATTCTGGGGACTTCCGGAGTGATGGGGCCCAGACATCCAACCCTATGCCCCAACTGCATTTACTGTCCTCAGCACTGCCATCAGCAACCCTGCCCTTGGCCTCCTAAGCTCTCATCCGTTCCTCTGGTTTTTGCTGTTATCCCATTATGACAGGGCAGGTTTGGGCTGGTTCTCTTGCCCACCCTCCCAGGCCCTTGACTGAAAGGGGACCCTCTTCGTGTGCCACTCTGTCGATGGGAAAATGTGGCCAGTAGGCAATGGATGCAGGAGGGTGCCGGGCCGTTACATCACCCATTTCAAATCCCTTCAGAAGAGGAATGCTTGATGCCCAAATAAGTCATTAGGAGCGATTGTTCAGATCTTCCTTTTAAAAAATTCTGTAAGAATTCCCAAGACTTCCTGTTTTCCAATCAGAAGGGTCACAGACTTGCCCAAAGTGGGCCTCAAGTATGATTTACTATTACGGACCTGCCGAGAAAGACGGCGCTCTGTTCCCAGCAAGATCGGTGAGACTACAGCCCACTTTCAGGATACTGCTGACGTGGCCAGGTGTGAGCTGTTGGAGACCTTTCAACAGCCCTACAGACTGCGGGCAGCCTAGCCAGCACTCCTCAGCTCAGTGAGAACAACTCAGAAGACAAACCCACAACTCTGTCTGTGCTTTGCAGAAAGTGCGGACAACAAGCCCTGAACATGTAAACATGTGGGTGACGTCCGCCATTCTTGCTGTGCAGACAGCCACATGAAGGGGCTTCACGCAGGGCACGGCCTGACCTATGCCTTGGTCATATGTTACGTCATGATTCTTAGCTGCTCACTAAATCATGGGCTGAGGCAGATTTCGAGCTGTCCTAGTGCCATTATTTACTGCTTGCCTTCATTGTCACGGAGTGTATTTGCTTCCCCCACCGCAGGACAACTTTCCTCTCTGAAAACGTAGCTCAGCGCAAGCATCTAAACCTGACTTTCAGTGCAGTTCTTAGGAGTTAATTTCCAGAGGGATTATCAAAACTCAAGGAGCTCTAACTACCGAACACAAGTTGTCCCCAGGCGGCCGGCACAGGTGTCTACTGCATGCCCCTTTCTCTGTGGGGAGCTTTAAGCTGCACTCCCGCTCGTCCCAGGACATAATCTCCCCTCCCCTACTTTACTCCTCCTGGACAGACTTGCACAGAGCCCGGCCCTTTGCTTTCTTAGTCACATACACACTGCTGTGTAGGTGACATGCAGCCCTTTTCTCCCAGAAGTGGCTGTCCTTGACTGGGCGATTAGCTTTTGTCATGCCAGCTGGCATGGTTCTGGAGGACTGAGCAATAAACTTCCTCTGGCTTTAAAAAAACCAAACACTCTTAAGTTACCAGAATGGGAACTAAAGACTCAGACAGACAAAACATACAAACAAGGCCAGGCGTGTTGGCATACACCTTAATTAGCCCTCAAGAGGCCAGGGAAGGAGAATCACAAGTTCAAAGCCAGTCTGGGCTACACAGTGAGGCCCTGCCTCGAACAGTACAGGGTCGCCCCAGGCTATCACCTTGGACCGCTCTCCCTAGAACACAACACAACTGAACACTTTTAGACCCTCGGTTGAAAAACAGTCAGTTACCCATGGAATCCACACTTGGCTCCTACGTATTCAAATGTAATGCTAAAAAAGTTTTTTTAATGTTGAAACATTTCCTCAAAACATGACAAAGAAGATGAGCTCTACATACTAATGAACCCAAACAATTTTGACATAATCTGTATTTCTATATAATGTAAATCAATCATGGAGTCCTGAAACTCTGAAAAGAAAACGCTGGGGAAAATACAGGTCTCCCCCAGCATTTACTCAATGTTTAGTCAGTACTTATTGATGCATTACTGCATCGTGTAGGTCATCTAATTCTTTCAATGTATTGGTGAGCCTTGCTTAGGATAGCTAGCTAATTTGAGGTATGGTGGCTGGGCCTGAATTCAAATTGCGAAGGCTTTTTCCATTTGCACCAAGCTGCTCCCAACCTATGAGGCCAATTAAGACGGGTCTCGGAAGGCTGGGGCTGCCTCGTGACGCAAGCTAAGTGTTTATGGTAGAGCCGTGGCCGAAATATGGACCCAAGACATATTTACTGAATGATGAACTGCAAAGAACCAAAGGAAAAAAATCGCTGCAGTCAGAAAGTTGAAAAGCCAGCAACCTTGCAGTTGGGCACTCTGATTTGGAATACGCTGACCTATTTGCAAAAGAACATGAACTGCCAGTTCTTGGCTTTTTGACACATTGGTGTTTCTCACTTAAGTGCTTTGGAACCTCTGCAGTCAACATTTTGTTTTGAAATACTTTCATTTTCTCTCTTATATGTTGGAAAACAGTTGGGCGGGTGCTCCAAAGCCCAGGTCAGGAAAGGAACAGCGGGGAGGTTAGGGGGTGACGTTGGAAGGCAGAGTCCTCTGCAGGGTCAAAGGCAGCACGCTGCAAGGAGGTAAAGACAAGGTAGGTGTGCAAAGCAGTTGCTGACCTCGGTTTCTCGCTCTGATCTTGTAGAGTTCTTCCTAGCCTTTCTTCTCTGGCTCTTATTTTTTTCTTCCTTTATGCCTTTTACTGTGGCCACGGGGTCTTGGACTATTTCTGAGGAGGGGGGTGTGTGGCTGCTCATTGACCAATCAGAGATGGCGTTAGGGTTCCAGTGAAGGTTGCCGGGATAGGTGGGAAGCAAGAGAGAATTTGCACCTGGAGTTGCATATTCTACAGAACTGGTTTCCACAGGTTGAAATTCATAATAATCCCACTCCAGACCACTGGAGGTCATTCTTCAACTAATTCTCAATCCTTACCATGCCATAAAGACCAGTATCTGTAGAACAGGAAGTTAGGAGTAAATTCTTTACAGTATTAGCATTCTCTACCCACCGCCCAAGAGAGGTAACTTCTGAAGGTAACTTTTTCCCCAGTACTTGACCTCCCACCCTCTTTAAAGGATATAAAGAGATTTCTTCCTTGATTCTTGCATACATTTCAAGGCTGATCATCAAGAACCATGATACGGACACAGGAGACAGCCATGGGTCAGATAACGGCAAATGCAAAACTTCAGAAGTAGTGAAGGTCAACCTACCTTCGCCACACCCACTTTTTTTAGACTGTTTGTTACTGTTGTTTTCCTTTAACTTAAGCAATGCGTGTGTTCTCGGGCTGGGACAAAGAAAAGATGTAGGAAAATTTCAGTGAAGGAGAGAGGGTGCTCCTGTCTATCAGCAGGGCTGGCTTTCCTTCGGTCAGCACGCCTCACCCTGGCCACTTTGTGACAGTTCCAGACTTTTTTACCTCTTGCCTTGCCTTGGACAGAAGCAGCAGCAGTTTTAGGAACTGGCGTGGCTTGGCTGCACAAGAACCCAGATCTCCGGAGCACCAGACGTAGGCTAGGCAGCACTGCTGGGTGGGATGGCTCGCACACTGGGCCCTGCGGCCTTGCCCTTGGGGCCAATGAGGGCTCTGATAATGCAAAGAGCACATCAGATGCCCCCAACATGTTTGTGCTAGCAATTCAAGCCTCCTTCTTTCTTTGGTTAGCCTCTCCTCCCTCTCCCTGTATTTCCCTCCTGTCATCTAAGGACATGATTTGAGCTAGGAACGTTATATTGGCAATAATGTAAAAAAATAACATGTGACTCAAGGTAAAAATCAAAAGCTTGAAACTAATCAGCATCTTTCGAAAATAACATCTTTGATGACCTAACAGGTTTCAGACCTATCTAGAGATTTAGGAGACATACTAGATGGCCTTCTGCCTGTGCTCAAAGTAATGACATACTGTCTTTGCAAACACTGTCGTTTTTCACTGGTACATGTGTTTGCCAAGTTGTAAGATATCACACAGAGACCCAAGGAACACTTCAAGTACTGTGATAAACAAAGCTGTACTTTGTATGGCTGACGGTCTGAAATTTGAGTAACATTTTCTAGCCAGTATTACTAAAAGTGAATCTGGAAGACATTCATGATAAGGGCGAACTCTCCAAGTTTCTGTGTTGCCCACAAAATTTCGTATGTCTTAGAAGTTTACCACACATTTTAAGAGTTCAGTTTCTGAAAATAGTTTCCAATCACATTCCCACAGGGCCTTTTCCTAAGGACTCTTTGGAGGACAATCCTTTGTGAGAGAATTCACCTTCTCCAAAGATCAGCAGGGCAGTGCTACATACCCGACCCCAGCCACTACTCACTGATTCAGAAATGGACAACAGATCCCAGGGTAGCCACTCTGAGTCCTGTCTAGATCATTAAATGGACAGTCTGAGAGCCGAGTTCATGGCAGCCAGATCTGGATAATAGCACAGCACCAGAGTGAACTCTCAAGAGGCCTTGTTTACTTGGATTCCATGAGATCTATCCCCCACCCTCCTTGAATAGATCCTTTTCAACTAGGATGAGGGCTCCTACTCACATCATCCTGGACGTCCAGGTCACAGCCGGCCTTCAGCAAGATCTGGACCACAGAAAGATGGCCCTTATTGGCAGCAAGGTGCAGGGGAGTCCGGCCATGCTGTCAATGCAAAGCAAACACTGATTTCAGAACAAGACATCAAAACCACTCCTTTGGGGGTGGGGGCAGGGGCTACAGCAAGGTTTGCACCACAGTTTTCTTTCCTTTTTTGTTTGTTTTTCTTCCAGTACCAGGAATCGAACTCAAGACCTTGCACTTGCCAGGCAGGCGCTCTGCCACTGAACTAAATCCCCAGCCCCAAGCACCACAGTTTTCAAGATCCCTGCCCTTGCCACTTTAGTTTGACAGGAGAGTCTTAGGAATTACCCAGAATTCAAGTTGTCTCAGTTAACTTTGGGTACTGACATTGTAATCAATGAACCAAATATACTTAAAATGATTTCATTGAATACAGTATATAGTTTCTATTTTCCATTCATAAGCAGCAAAGTAAAAAGTAGCAAAGTGAGGGTTTCATATCTTATTTTCCCACTGGTGCTAATGCTATGGGAAGGTGAAGTGCCACAGTGACGCTAACCAGGGCAAGGGGTAAGAAAATAGCAAATTTCAAGCTAATCTGCCTCCAGTTAGTAACTCCTTAAAATTAAAAATCACAGGCAGGCGTGGTGGCACATGCCTGTCATCCCAGCACTCGGGAGGCTGAGGCAGGAGGATCATTGTGAGTTCAAGACCAGCCTGGGCTACAAAGTGAATTCAAGGCCAGCCTGAACGGCATAGCAAGATCCTGTCTCAAAAACGACCCAAAAAAAAAAAAAAAAAAAAAATTAAAGATCACAAACTGATTAGGAAAGGTTTACTTTCCATTTTTATGAAAAAAATAAAAATTTCATAGCAAAATTTTTAGTTAATATACTGTGCATCAACCATAAGAGCAGTTACTCAGAGTACAAGACAGACAAAAAAGACCCTTACAAAGAAGAAACAAACAGAATAACATAAAACTTTCTTTTAAATGAACTAAGAAAAACTGGTAGTATAAATGAAACAAATTGGCACATATATTAAAATACTTTTGGAACAACAGAATAGGTAATTTCTGGAATTGTTTGAACTTCTCCCTACTTCCTATTTATCTTTTAATTTGTTCTTTATTTGTATGTAGAATATTAATAACACAATATGTGTATATAATATATATGTATTGTTTCTCATATAAGAGAAACCACGCAATATTTAAGCTTGTATGTCTTATTTCACTTACCACTATGTTCTCATGTTGCATTCATTTGCCCACAAATGCCTCAAGTTTTTCTGTATGGCAGAGTAGTACCCCACTGTGTAATTATGGACCATTTCAGCCATTCAAAAATACAATATTTTAAACTTTATGTACCCATCTGCCATCTTAAGGAAAGATCAGAGAATGACTGACTCGTTGGGAATGCCTTCCAGATCTCATCCCTCTCCAGCACTAGAGGGAATCCCCCTCTCAAACTTGGTGTTCATCATTTCTTTGGCCTTTGTTATGTTTTCACTACCGGCTGGTGGCCAGAGACCATATAAAAACACGGTTGTGCTTGTTTCAAACTCTATGTCCATGATATTAAACTGTACGGTGTCACTCAGCACTTTTTCTCCATTATACTGTTAAGACTTTTTCCCACACTATCACACATAGCTCAGTTTATTACTCATACGCGTAGTGATGGGCACCAGTCCTTACACAGCTCCACTCCTTATACAGCTGAGTGGGTTTCTCAGCCCTCTGGCTGCGTCACAGAAAAGTCTGTCCCTCAGCTGCTCTAAGCACATGGTTCCTGGGATGAAACACCAAGGGTGACACGTGGAGGAAATAACACTTCTCAGTCTAAACTAACTGTTGTGGTTGAAACATTGTGTCAACTTGGGGAGTCTAGAGGTTTGGCTAAGTGACTCAGCAGGAAGCCAGGATACTTACTTTGTATACATCCTGAGCCTGTGGAAGAGGAGGGCATGGAGATTGTGTGAGAGCTACACGCCCCTTAGGTGGGGGTAGCCTGTTTACGATGTAAAGCAAGAAAGAAGCTGCTTGCCGCCATTCCTCCGGGTTTGCTCTGGCTGTTTGCTGTTCGGCTGCCATTCCACCCTTTGCTCTTGTTGCTTTGCTATCTTCTGCCTCGGAGCCAACCAAGTATGGACTGAAACCTCCACAAACTGTGAGCTAAATAAACCTTTCCTTCCTTCATTTTGGGCGTTGGGTATTTTGTCTCAGCAACGAGGGAAAAGTAGCCAAGACACTAACCGACCTTCCCAAACTCCTGCTTCTCCAAAGGAGCTATTCTGTTCCCTCAGGATTCACTGTGAAAAACAGGTTCACGCACCATTTAGCCTCTGCACCACCCACACTGAGACACAACACTGAGGACTGAGTCTCACCAAGCCCTACTCCCTGCTCACCACGTCCATAAAGACCCAAAGGTGGCGATTAATATTCCAGCCGGATAAGCCTATTTATAGTCTCAATAAAGCACAAGCTGCCATAGATAACTAGCCGTGGAGAAAGACAGAGGTAACAGACGATAAAGAATCTTAATTTCCACTCACGAGATGCAATCAGCGCTGGAATGAGTCCGGAAAGAAAGAGGTCAGAGCTCACTTTAAAATTAGAATTCTTAATTAAGAACAAAGTTACTCCCAAAAAGTGGGCTATAAAACACCTTTATAAAGAGACCATATCCGAGGTGAGATAAAGGGTGACCTTTCTTTGCTGGTGACTGTGCTCAGCTGTATGCTATTTAACCCTGATCCTTAAATGATGTGTCCACAGCTGATTGGACAGAGCAAAATGAGAGGGTTTCACTCCTCGGGCCCCATCTCAGGTGCCATCTGTCATCGCGCGTCCTTGTCAAGGACCTACTTTGACACTGAATCAGTGACCGTCACACATTTCCGAAGGCATTCTGAAACACGGACAGCGCACCACAGATGTGAGGAGAAACGTCTGAGCTGTGAGGACGGTGACAACACGGTCCGATAAAAATGCCTTCACATCACCAGAAAGCAGAGCGCACAATGGGGAGCGGCCGGGAGGAGAGGCTGGGGGAGGGGCACACACACAGGAGTCACCGGTCCCGCCTTCCTTACTGAGAACACCAATCTCCAAACTACGCCTGCGCCTCCACAGCAAGACACGTTCTCAACTTGCCTTCTCCACACCGACAGCACTTCCGCTCCCTGCGGGGGAACCAGAGCATCCTGCTGCGTCACCTGGGCTATGGTCTCCTGAAGGGCAGGGACTGTACCTTCCTCCAAATCATGAACCAGGCCAACTCGGGGGCAGTGTAGGGCCATAGGAGAGAGTGTTTTTCAAGCACAGGGCAGGACCAGACCCAACTGTGCTAGATTTGCCATCAGGAAGATACACGGAAATTCAGGGTGGGTGCACGCTTCAGTTTCTAGGCTGTCTCTGCCTCTCTGAGGTGGTATCAACAGCCTCAGCAGTGACACAAGGGCTTCTCTGAGGATGATCTGTACCCCCTTGCGTGCTTGGCTTCTTTGCTGGCACTGGGAAAAGGCACAGAGGCAGCAAAGGAAGAAACTTGTTTCCTACAGAACTTGGAGCTGCCTGCGTCTGACCCTTTCACTGTCCCAGCACAAGGCAAGGTCCCTCCATACATGTACTGTCAAGCAAAGGAGGAAAGCAAGGATGAAGCCACTCTATTTCCATCCTCTCGGTCTGGCCAGGGAAAAAACGGTGACAGGAGTAAAAGACCCAGTACTATGAACGGTAAGTGGAAGAAGCTTTTGAAGCATTAATTTGCCCTGGGTTTTACCCTCAAAGATCAGCCTGACTCACCTCAGGCCCTGGTAGCCCAGGGAGACCAACATTCATAAAGGCAACAGCAGCAGACAGCAGCAATAACTTTACTGCATGGTCCACCTTGTCTTAAGAAGTACAGATACGTGGCTCGGTGTAGCGGCTCATGCTGGGAGCTCACTGGGGAGGCTGAGTCAGTCCAAGACCCATCTGGCAACTTAGAAAGACCCGGTCTCAAAAAATAGAAAGTCTGGAGAAATGAATCAGAACTAAGGCCTGGGCTCAATCTCCATTTCCAGAGGAAAAAGAAAAAAGAACTTTACATGTGTTAGCTCACCCAATCTTCCCAGCCCAGTATGGTAGACACTATTCTTAAGCCTATTTTACAGAGGAGGAAACTGAGGCATGGACACTGCCACTTGTTCTATGCCATGCAGCAGGTAGCTGAAGTATGGACTCGTCTCTTACGCATCTGTTCCAGCCCCTGTGCTCCTACCCACCTCCACGCTGCCTTGACGGTGTTATGGGGTGGAGTCCCTGGCAGACATGGGACTCTATGTCGCGCTTGCAAGTGCTTAGGTGTTGTGACCCAGGCTAAACACTGACCTCTGGGGTTTCTTAGAAGTAGCTTGGCTTTCTCGGAACCCTGGCGATGAGCAGAGGTTATGTATTTTCTCTGTATACTAAAACATCCTGGGGAGGATATTTCCTGATTCCTAAACCCCTCCTCCTGAGTCTGATCAACTCTTGGTAGCGGGGCCCAGGTACCAGTCTTTATACAACTCCTCAACGACTCCAGTGTGTGACAGGTTGAGAACACAGGAGAAGATGAAGAGGCCGGATAACCCCTCCCCAGAGCAGCCCGCAGGCTAAGCCTGCCTGGCTGGGCCTGCCCGAGCAAGAACCATTCCTCTCACTACATTCTTCGTGACGCTCTTGTCCCCACCTGTCAGTGCAAAACTCCAAGACTTCCCTGCTGTGACCCAGAGCTTCCTGTATCGTCAAAGAATACATAGTAAGCATAATGCATTACTAAAAAATTTGTAAAGTAAAAGAAAATCCCCTCTAATTCCACAACCCAATTCAACTAATCTTTATGCAATCTTTCTCAGAGTATCTCTTCTATTGGTGCTCTTGCACAGTTACATTTACGGGTCATATCAAACTGTCCTGCTTTTTGCAAAAGTATTATACCCTAAGCCAGTGGTTCTTAAACTGAATTTGGCAGCAGGCTGCCCTAGAGAGCTTGTTAAAACAGATTGCTGAGATCTCTTTTCAGTGTCTGATCCAGTAAGTGTGGGGT